GTATTACTACGCTCCATAATTTCACCAATTATGGATAATGTATGCATGACACTACATATAATTCTAATTAAGAACTTATGACTCACAGCTGGCACAAAAAAAACACTGATGAAAAGTGACACGCACAAATCATATTACGAGAAGATAGTTTAATATAAACAAAAGGCAAATATACAGCAAGTCACTCTTCTTTCATTAAGGCTCAAAAACAGCATTGACCACAATAAAAAGTAATGACTATTTTGGCATACTTCACATGGTGGGGGGGGGGGGTGACAGAAAATAAAATTGGTAACGTCAGAGGTACTTCGAGTTCATAATGGGACAGTGCGGGTAAATGGACGCAGAACCTGCCAGACTCCTGATGGACACGGGCCTTCAAGAGGCGAAATTAACAGCCACACCAAACAAAAATCCAGGATAAATGAAATGCTACGGTTCACCGTACAAAACCAAAGCAATAACGTGGCATTAAACACCATCTTTGTTTTACGTCGAAGGCAAATATTTAACATGTCATAGTTTGTCAATGGCAGTACTGAAGTACCAAAGTCATTCAGCTGTGTATTTGTTCAGCATGCTGACGTCTCTGTGTCAGCGGCTCAGCCGGGGCGTCGTGGGCTGGGAAAACCAGGAAGCAGACGATGATGAGCAGCACCGGCATAAGATCTGCACCCGGGGCGGCTCTCAGGTGCACGCAGTCTGAATGAGGGGTTTTCACCAGTTTGACAGATTCTTGCATGTTTGTACCAACAGGGCACAAAATTCTCATATATTTCTGTATCATCTTCTGCGAACAGACTAGACATGACTATAGTTTTATAGATTGGCCTTCATAATCATGTTTTTTTTTAAATTAAGCTAATTTATTTCCAACCTATTATGTAGACTAAAGACTCATGCTTGCCCAACAAAGCTAAAGTGTGCTGCTTTTTTTGCTGTTATGAATTATTATTGTTGCTGCTGACTAGAATGACCTGCATCGTACCTCTTTCGTTAGCAGGAAATCCTATGAGAGTGATTCCAAAGACGCAGTAAGTACTTTCTGAAACTTGAACCCTTAATTTCTGTCTTAATCCTCTGCTGCCTGCTTCCTGATTCAAATCTCTGCCTACTTTGCCCTGCATTTAAACTGAAAATCAGCTAATGCCGACTGGCAGTCTTAAATGTCTCTGTTCTGCATGGGAACAGATTGGTTTGGATCGACGCCCCTTCCCAGGTCTGTATCTCAAAATCACTACTGAATGTCACAGTGAAGCAGCCTACAAACACTGCTTCCAAACCAACTTCAAGCTTTAATATAGGCCAGTCAATTACTACTGCCTTCAATATGTTACAATTACGTTTATATTATAATAATGGCTGGGTCCAAATTACATAACCAATATTAAGGATACTTCTGGGATTTCTTGACATCATATTGCATTTTAACTAGAAAGAAAACATGACACAAAGGACCGGCTGCTGACCTCAGGCATGTGGAAAGCTGGATCGCTATTACTGCAAACAATATTGTGCCATACAGACAAACAGAACCCATATCCAATCACTGCCATGTTCTTACACTTTCTTGAGGATTACCTAAAAAAGTGAAATGGCAATATTCTGACAGCTCACTCCTCCCGTAGGTTAAAAATAAGACCACACCAGTAAACACGGCCGGGAGGAATTTGACGGCAAGCTTCTAGAAAAATCCTCTCCCACTGCTGAAGTGGAAATAAAACTCAGATATAAATTGGCGGTGTACTCCTAGTGCTGCGCTGCAGTTCGGACGCAGGAGAATAAAATAAAAATTATCGATTAGTCGGCAGAAAAGTGTAATTCACAACAGCCGAGGAAAATTATTGCTGTAGGAAGAAGGGAACGTATTCAAACAATGCAGCGCTGCTTTGGAACCCATAGAAAATAGTCATGTTGAAGGGGGCTGTGCTGTGAGCAGGCAAGGTGAAGGCAGGGGGGGGGGGGGGGGGGTAAATGGCAATCAAACTAAATCTCTTAAATACTTTTTATAACCATTCGACACATAAAAATGTTCTGAAGTACAGAGCCATTGTCAATAGCCTTTCAAAATCAAGAATTTCGATTAGCTCTCGGGTACAAGTAAAAATTTCAGGTAATCAAAAACAAATGATTGAATTTGTGAATGCGGGGTGTTGTGAATGCAAGCAAATTCTCTAGTAAATTCTTAATAAATATATAAAACAATTATGACAAACATTTGACAGCCCAGAAAAAGCAAGCTGCAGGGAGTTTTTCTCCAATGAGCGCCCTCTGCAGGTAAGAGGGGGACAGCACAGGAGGAGGGCGGGGGGTTCTCCCGTAGCCGCCCTGGCTGGACCTCGGTCTCCGCTTGCAAGCTAAGCATCTGCTGTAGTCTCACATCAGACGGCATGTAGGAGGACGTGTCCACATCAGCAACAGCCATGATCTACCCAAGAAGCCAGTTATTAGGCCTGGAGTTGCCGTGCTGCAGATCCCACAGAACGTCCCAGCCTGCGTGAGCATCCCCTGAAAAAGGAGGCTCTCCAGCCAATTTCAAGACATTCCCAGTATCCTTATGTCGCATTAATGATTTCTTTGTAATAAATGATTTCACCCACCAAAAAATAAATAATGATGCCAAAATGTATTAACACTAACAGACTCATAACCTTGATATGCTTCAAAACTATCTTCACCCATGCATGGGTCTTTCTACTGCAGGGGCCGATGGAGTAATTGCAGTAACATCCGCGTGTGATCTCATTTATCCAAGAAGTCGGCTTCGCAGAAAGTCATATTCTGTTCCAAGGCATTTCGACTGGCAGCCCATTCTGCACCAGGGAAATGTGCGGCGGCATGAGATTTCCCCCAAGGAATTTAAGCACACCAGAGCTGTGCGTTATGATTAAAGGCACTCTTATGATACCACAGAAATGAAGTCCCACACAATCAGCAGGGCATTCCATTCCCCCTGTTTTTGTTTGTTTTCTTTCATTACTCATTACTCTAAAACAATATATGAAACAAGTTTATCCCCCCGTGCAGTCAAGAAAATCCTTCATTGTGTGAAAATGTTCCAAATTTTTTATTAAAATCACTAATACACTGTTGAGATGGGATAAGAGGTTGTTTTTGATCCCCAGTATCACTTTCAGGCTTTGGTCCAACGTTACCAAGTCCAAAGGCAGCCAAAGTCAAATCCCTGTGACACCAAATTATTTGAATTGTCTGCATTTCCAATGAACAATTAGTGCAAATCAGCTATGCTACTCCTTTAAGGGGAAAATGTCTAGCGCAGGGATCTTCAACTCTGGACCTCGATTCCAAATCCAGGCCGTGTTTTCAGTTCTCCCAGG